TTTCTCATAGACTTCTATACAACCAGAGGAGTCGCCCCCTGGTGGACTTACGGTTGACGAACAGCTGCTCCTCCTGAGACAGGATGCTGGTCAGGTGGGCGCCGTGCAGCCGACACTCCCTCTCAGCAGTGTCCCACGTCCGCCGGTGTGTGAAGTACTTATAGCAGTGAGACTGAAACTTCTTCCACCCGAATCCACAAACCTCCGTGTCTGCAGGGAGGAGGAACAACAAATTATTACTCAGAATGAAGTACGGTGGTCAGCAGAGGATCTACAGTGTCTGTGGTTCAGAGGAGGAGGTAGTACTCGGATCAGTTTCCCAGAATAAAGGGCGTCACATAAACAGTAGAGAAGTCCTCGATGTTCATCACAGATTTTACACTTTAAACTGGATCATTTACATGAAGACGACCACAGCTGGTGGTTCTGGAATACTGCTGATCAAGCAACTTTGATTTGTTTATTTCTCATCAAATTGTATGCGTGTGTGTGTGCGTGTGCATGTGCGTTTGTGTGCGACTGTCTTCTGTTGTTAAATAAAGTACTTTCATATTTTATATAAAATATCTAGAATCAAAACCACCTCAGCCGGCTGCAACATTAAAAAGATGATTATATTTGAATGCATCAGTAATGATGATGTATAAAGTATGATATATATTCATGTAACTCTACACTAGTGCGTAATTTTATACTTTATTTAATGTAGTCATGTAACTTAAATCTGAGTTCTTCTTCCACCATCTGTTACTGAGAAGAATACATGTTCAGTAACCTCTGAATAAATATAAATACATAACTGTGTAGCGTTAATAATATGAGCTCAAAAATCTGAACAAAGGTTTAAGAAATGATGTCAGAGAGAGTTCATTTGATCTATCTGAGGATTAATACGCCGACTATTAAATCTGTTAAAGTTCAGCGTTACGACTCACAGCAACAAGCAAACTATGAAACTAAAGAATGTGAGCTTATTATTCATAAACGTGACACGACATCGTCAGCTGAGAGAGTCTTGGGAGGAACCCGAAAACATGAGTCCTGATCCTCCGTCAGCTGAGTCATGAGAGAAATATGAACGCTGGAACTAATCTGAGAGGAGCCGACGCCCAGAGAGCCACCTGCGTGTGTGTCTGTGTGTGTGTGTGTGTGTGTGTGGACTCACTTTTAGTTTGACTCTATTATGCAGTTTATTGTGTGTTTAAGTCCATTCAAATACATTCAATATTTGTTTCCTTCAGTGAACAGTTCTGATTTATTTTGTTGTATTTTTTGTTGTTTTGGCAAAAACATTGTTTTGAATTCACTTGTCAATGTTGAGTTTGTTCTATTTTTCTTCCATAACTCGTCTCCTTCAGTGGTGTAGCATAGCATAGTGTAACATAACCTAGCGTAGCCTATCTTATCGTTTGTCATATCCTATCATAGTGTAGCTTGCGTAACATAGCGTATCTTATTGTTTATCTTATTGTATGATAGCGTAGCGTAGCCTATCTTATCGTTTA